CAACAGTGCCAGATCTGATGTTTAAAAATTTGGATTTAATCCCTTGTTCTTAAAACCTCTACACTTTTTTTTTACCCCAGTTCCAATTTTATCTACACAATGAATAACAGTGGTCTACTTCCATCACAAGGTTACATAAAACTGCAGCATATTCAGAGTGAACTGAAAGTTATTGCAAAATCAACATATTATTACAAAAAACAAGGTTAGCATTTGGCCTAATTGTGTATAATGCAGTGTATTTTCAGCTGTCTGACAGCATGCAGGCACTCTTACCAGATGGGAACTGAATGAATTATTGAATGAAATATGAATTATTAAATAAAAATTTGAATTTTTTTAGACTCTTGGCAGTGGGTGACGAAGAAAGGCTTATTTGTTTGCCTGAAACTGCCCTCACACATCAAAGCATGTAAAGATAGCATATACCACCACAAATGGTATTTACCTACCAGAGCCATTTCTTCCCTTGTTATTCTCCAATTCACAATGCTCCCTTACCATAAAGAATCAGTAATCAGCACCAACCCATTCTTCCTTGCTTTTCTTTTGTGCTAATGCCAGGTTAACAGGAAAACTTGCCAAAGGGACAGAGTTAAAAATCCAGAGTCCCACAGTACCAGTATGGCCCATTTAATGGGAAGGCTGGGATAATAGGAATAATCTCTACAGATTTGTGTTACATAGGCAATAAAACATATACCTTTGCAGCATGCCAGCATTTAACCAATCATAGAAGCTATTTGTTGCCTCATATATTACAAAGCAATAGAGATTTAAGGGATAATGTTCATGGAAGCAGAGGATACGAAGCAATAAACAGCATTGGAGGTTGGTTAAATGCCAAGTGAAGCCAGGACTACAGCATCATAAACATTATTCCTACTATATGACAAGATAAGGAAGTACAAGAAGCTGCCCTCAATCCCAGCACAACTAGGGCTCTACTGCTATTCTTAGACTTCAAAAGGGAAAACTGGCCCTGGAGGTCTATGAGCTAGTTATAGGTTTCATGTCTCAGAAAAGTATGAACAGAACCCCAACTTGTACCTAAATGTCCTTTGGGAGAAGAAAATATCTAGTAGTAGATATCCTCAGAGGGGAAGGAAAGAGTAACAGCCCTTCAGGGTCACACTGTAAAGAGAAACAATCAGAGGGTTTTCCTTAAAAGGACAAAGTTGATGTACAGAGTTGTTATGACAGAAACCTTTCTCAATGACTAATAAAGGGATGATATTAATATCTATTAAGTAGTATCTCCTCATACAAAATGTGTTCCTGCTCCTAAGGAAATAGACATTCTATGTAATGAGCTTATATGACCAGAATCTGCTCAAAGACTTGACATAGTGACCAGGAGGACCACTTAAATATGAATAATTTGTACTGCAAACCAGTGTCTATGCTTAAGAGGAAGTATAGAAATATGGAATTGGTTGACTCCTGATAATATAAATTGGACAAAAAACATCCAAAAGGTAAGTTATCTAACTGCACCCACATGAAGTAACATCTCAATTTCAAGAACAATGACAGATACATAGTAATTTTTTCTACTTCCACATACAATAGAACAGCTTTATAATCTACTTTCAAGTAAAAGTGCCCCCTAAAGCATTAAAAACTTATAAGATTTGCTAGATTCAGCACCAAACCATATTTCCATTATTTTAACAATAACATATAGGCAAAGCCATTTTATAATCATAATGTTTTAAAATACAGGGTCTGGCAGAAGTAATGCCTGCTTGAGTGTGGTTGGTAGGGTAACAATATGTGTGTAATAATTTATAGTTTTAATTTGAACATTTCACCTAAAATGTCATATGGTATGCTTGAATGGGATATTGTTATGTTATAGAATTACACGCTTATGATTTTATAATTTAAAAAAGGAGGGGGGCTTATTTGTGCTGGACCCTGTATATGCTATCTATATTATAAACATCAAAAACACATACAACTCAAATTCAACCAGCCCTTTGCCACAGGGAATCTGGGGTATTATTGCTTTAACACTAACCCATTCTCTGGAGGCAGCTCTATTAACTACTAATGCTGCCACATTCCACAAAGAGGTATTAACAGAAATATTGCTTTTCCTGAATTCTTCATGAGGGTGAGGAAGCCTCAAGAGAAAGAGTCTCAATAGGAGAAAAGGGATGTGCGGGCTCAAAAAACCCATCACCTGTCTTTTCAGATAAGAATGCAGAGAACACAACATTTAGCAGCCACCTTCTTAAAAAAAAAAATACAGACAGCATATTTAGAACTCAGCTGTGTCACATCAGACTTACTGTTGGGAAGTGGATCATGAACAGAATCCAAAAATAACAGCCATTAAAGACCTAGCAACCAAAACATGTTTACGTATCCATTGAAAGCCTGGTGGTTTTGATTATATGGTGGAGAGCATAATCCACTAGTCTATTTTAGGTGAATTTTCCTTTCACCTTCCCTTAATATTAAGGCGTAAGATGTTTTCTGAGTTTTGGGGTACATGAGGTAAAGTATGGGCAGGCAACAGATACTGAAATAATACAAGATTCCTATAGTTTTTGTTTATGGTTGGTTTTTAAGGATCAGTCTCTTGAATTATCATTTGTTTTCATTCTTTCTTCCTCTAACTGGTAGAAGCCACTGATTTCTGAGAATTCTATAGCATTAAATCCTAAACCATGACTAGCAAAAATTATCACAGTCCTTATTACCGTTTCTGGGATTTACATAGCCTTTTTATTATTCTACCATTTCTTCAATAAAGAATTTGAATCAATGAGAGTAGACTATAAATAGCTGGAAAGTCTCGAGGTAGCTCCAGAATGAAACCATTTTCAATGGATATAAGGAAGTTGGATGACAGGTCAAGGGTAGTTCACTGAACCAAATTTATCTTTTCTGCCAGATTTTCACTATTTCATGTAACAGTAAATCTTGCAGGGATCCCACTCTAGTTATTTGTTACCAGATATTGGGAAAAACTTGGAATGAGACTAACATATAACCAAAGAACTACAATTTCACCTGACCATAAAGTTTTAGCATGCAAGAAGGGAAAAAAAAAAAAAAAAATCAGGCCACCTTGAAAGCCTAAGTTGTAGCTTTCTATCCTTTTTCTATAAAACAAGTAACTTCCAAAAGAAGGCAGGAGTCTCCCTGAGTTCCACAACTCACTGAGGGAAAAAATGTCTTCAGGACCTACACCAGAGGTTATAATAAATCCTAATAACCAAAATACCAATAAATAATTCAGAAATGGGAGGGGGAAGTAGGGGAAGAAAAGGCTTATGGTAAATAGAATCCAACAATCTAAGAAGGAACCAAGGTAAAAAGCACCTACTGTTTCACTACCTCTAGTCCAAAATGCAAAATGAAAACAAAGAAACAAACACAAAACCCTTCTGGGAGCTCTCAAATTTCAGTGAAAACTACTCTTTTCTGATGAGACAGCCTGAAGAAACCATATTTAGATTTTCTCAGAGCTTAGCTTTTCCCATGTATGCCTTTATTTTTTATCCATTTTTATTTCTTTAAGTCCTTGTATGGGTGTTTTAAAGCGTATGACATATAAGAGGGGTTACAGGAATTGAGCAGTTTAAATAATAAGTGAAGAAAAATAAATGTAAGTATGAGAAAAATAAATCTTTTCATCAAAAATACAGATTTTTAAAGTAAAGGAGAAAAGTAAAAAGGCACCCAGTATCAATTACGGGAGTCACATTAAATACTCTTGTCAATAAATTCACACAAAACTTTTTGGGATCAGGTTCAGATATGAATTCCAATAAAGCTGTCTGAAAAATGAAATTTACCTTATTTTCTCAAGAGGTTTCTATTGTAAAAAAAAATAAAATATAAACCACATGGGGAAAACATGCAGTCAACAATAAAGTTGAAAACTAGAAGGAAGTATACCTTACAATGCTTTATACTTCAGAATACAATGCTATTTTAGTCTTTTCTGAAAATTTCAGCATTTACTGGAATTTGAAATTATCCTTCTGCCCAATCCTTGTCACCACCCCCATCACATTCACCTTTCAAATTCCAATTCTTAGGAATCTCTGGAACTTAACTCTGTCTTCTTTTTGTCTAAGTATTTACAATGTTTAATAGAACTAGTCTGCAATCTCACATACCACCAGTAAGTGTCACTGGACAGTCACATGACATATTTCTAACTGAACAGAAATTCAATCTTTCAGGTTCTATAAATTCAATTCATGAAGGCAGATAAAACTTTTTGTATCCCTTTCTTCATCCTTTGTGGAACACGGAGGTAGGAGAGGGTCTAAGAAGAGTTAAGAAGGTGGAAAATGGGGGCGGGGGGAAGGCAATTTCAAAAAAATTATTTATTAAAGAAGTACATGATGAAAAATATGACACATAATGTAAACATATGCAAATGAGAACATGGCAGCAGGGAAAATGGCTGAGAAGTCTTGTAATTTGCATATTGCTGTGAGATCTCTAGTTCTATATTGGATTTGTCTTTCCTAGTTAGGTATCTATCTGCCTTAGCTGCTAACAATGATTTTCTGGATCAACAGTCAAAGGAAAATTTTTTTTTTAATTTAAAATACCCAAATAGACTCTGGCAAATTGGGGTTAACAATGAATGTGTGTATTCTTGGCTGCCTATACAAATATATTAAGTTGACTTTTATATCCATGAAAATTGAGGAGAATATATTTCTAAATTTGCTTTGTAACTAGATGGATAGGTTTAGAAAGGAGGAGAGAGCAACATGTATTCCTCAACACTCTGTGTTGGGAAACAAACACCAGTAGAATAACAATATGAAAGAGAGCAAGGCAGATTTCATTACGGTAGAGTGCCTGCACTTCCTCATAACTTGGATTTACACACTGCAAATCCTCTGATCTGATTACCTCCAGTGATCACGTAAAATACCAGCTTTAAACTCTTTGCCTTAGTGATAAAACAGCCACTTTGATTCACAACGAGACATTCACAATAAAGTATATTGTAAACGTACCTGTCCACAGCCCGGGGCATTGCACACAAACGGTCTGTCGTCTCCCATATTTCATATAGAAGAGCGGAGCTGAGGAGGAGAAGGTAGGGGGAAAAGTTATGTTAAATATGCTGGAGTTTAAAAAAAAAGTGCTTCAAAAATATCAAGCTTAGTAACAGGTGTTCCAAGAATGCCATCTATCAAAGCTGTAAACACAGGCTACATTGGGGAGACACATTAGACAGGTGGCATATGATCTACAGTGCCTCAATTGAAACTTTTAATTAGAAAAATTTAGACCTAAATAGTCAAGGAATTTCAAATCTTTTGCTAGATTTTCCCTCTTTCTGCTACAGTATAAAACACACTTCTCCAGTCTGCTAAATTACAACCAGTGCAGTTCCCTATGTCAATAAATCCACTGAACGCTCGATGCGGAAGCCATATTTCTGAACTAGAGAAGACCAAAATTTGTCATTTAATTAATTAAGGGATTATAGGAGGGGTGCTCCATTTTACAGGGCTATAATCTGGCTCCCTGGTGTATAAACTAGGAGACGGTTGGCAAGGGCCGTTTATCCCAGATTATTGCCAAAGAAAACAAAGCACCCATCCTATTGAGCTACACGGGAAATGATTTTCATTAATAAAAAATAAAAATAAAAAACCTCTCCCCATGGGAGGCTCCTTCTCCCCCCACCAATTGTCTGTGGCAAATGGAGAAATATAGGTGCCCTTCCCCCTCTGATTCTATTTATGGCTAGGTTTTTAAAAGCAGCAATAAAACAAATGTCGACTCTTTGGGGGTTTACTGGGTGAATGTGTTCCGGCTGTTTGTGCTGCTCTCGGCCAGAGTTCTTGGGCTGCTCGGTTGCAGCCAACAGATGTGTGCTGCTGCAGGGGATAAAGAAATGGCACTAAAAGGCATCACCATTCATCCTCTCTATTTCTCTGAAGAATTTAACAGGGTTTATACTGTTGTTGTTTTTTAATTATTAAAGCCAAACTCTTGCAATACTAATCAAAATTCTTTGTCAAAGAACAGTAATTCCAATGTGAATGTGTTGGGGAAATTTATTATACCTCTTCTAGAAACAAAAACAAAGATGGAGATGGATAAAAATTAGAAATGTAAAAAAAGATAAACCTGTAGTTTGAAAGGGTGGAAGATAAAGGGAGGGATGCAAAAAACAATCTTTATAGGATAAACCCTTAAAGGGCATTTTCAAACATCTTTTTATAAGAAACAAAGGTGTCTGAAAGAATATGAACAAGAGAAAGTGAACAAGAAAGAACTACAATTTGAATATGCACAGAAATGCCTTCAGAATTGTAACCAAATTTCACCTTTTTATTCTGGAGATAAACCAAGATAACGGAGGTTAACCTCAGTTAGGCCTGCATTAAAATAAAAATGTTAAAGTGTTAGACAAGATCTGATAATTAGAAAACCATGCTGAAAATTCAGAGAGTAGCTAGGTAACATCTCTTTGACTCTCGTAAGACTCACTCTGGGGCTAGAAACCAGTATTTCTAGTAGTTTGATCAGTTATTTACACAGCCAATCAGTGCATAAAATTGTGGGGCACCCGTAAAATGGAGAGGGCTTCTTAATCACCTTTCAGTGTGATAGGAACAGGGTCTAACTATGAAGAAACCAACGCTGCAGCATTATTGCTATAATGGAAGAGAGCCTGTGTGTACATAGGTGTACACAGATTTATATCACATTTAGCCAGGATAAATTGCTTCAATAAATTGTGTTCCTAAGAGAGGCCAGCTCAAGTTGATGACTGGATACTGGGAAAATGAGAGCTTTCTTTATTCTTCTTTCTCAGCCCCAGGACAGGGGGTTTTCTGGTTTGTTTTAAATTCGCAGTAATTTTTTAGCACTTTCTGAAACTATGACATAGTGCAAAAAATAAATACAAGTAAATAAAAGTAAATAAATGCAAAGACCAAAGCTATTACAGCTGAAAATGCAAAGCATTTCTGGAAGGCAACTTATCTCTGGAAAAATCCTACAATTTCTGTGCTGGAGATAATTTTACTTCCTAATCCCAGAACCTGCTTTCCTAATGTAATCATGAAATACGAACTTTATTCCAACAAAGTTCTCTAACATATTTTCAACCAAGAAGTAAACAAAAGGAATAAAAGAGATACAAAGACCAAACACGATTCCTTACTTTTACCTTGGTTCTGTTATTTAAGGCTAATTTTTTTCAGTTTTCCACTAGAGGAGAGAGAGGGTCCGAGCTTAGGAATGGGGCAGCATTACCATAGGAAGCGATTAAATAAATTTTGGAATGGTTTCACCCAAATCACAAAATTCAAAATTTAACCTGGTTTTGCACAATCACATCACAATATATGCCTTCCAAATTTTATTTAACTGCATCCTTAGGAAATAGAGATGAAAAATCCTAACTTTCTAAAGTGATTTAAGGGAGGGGGCAAAAACAAGTTGGGAGGAAAGCACTGAAATGTAACAGAAGCATACATTTTCATGGATCTTAAATATTGTAATCTGACAGTCACTAACTAGGATTTCCTGCTTCCTTCCCAATTTGCTGGCTTTTGTTTGCCATTTTCACCAAAGGGAGATCACAATGGGAGGAAGGAGGTCTTTTTTCTTAAATACCCACAATTATTCTTAGATCATTCCCTCTATCTCTTGCCCCTTTTCTTTTCTATCATTCTTGCTTTTCACTTTAAATGATTTGTCTCTGGATAGTTCAGTTGGTTGAAACATCGTCCCAGTACAACAGGGTTGAGGGTTCATCTCGGGTCAAGGCACATACAGGAGTCAACCAGTGAATCCATCCATGGGTGAGTGGAGCAGCAGATGGATGTTTCTCTCTCCCCCTTCCTCTCTCTCTAAAATCAATGAACTTTAAAAAATAAATTAATTAAAATGATCTGTCTTTTTAAAAAACTTAAATCAATAATAATAATCTATCTCACCACTTAAAAAAATTTTCCAGCTAACTTTAAAAAAATTTTTCTCTTTCATCCCCAGTCTGCTGCATCAATTGCTACATATAATAAATTATATTGGCTTATTTCTATTTCTTACTTTAAAAAAACCTATAATCATGAGAGGTCAAATTGATGCTCTCTCAAAAACAGAAAGCAACACATTTCTGTAGTATAAACAGACTGAGAGAAAGGTGAAATCTTGAATAATGATGCCATCATTCACTAAAATTTAACTCACAGCCCATTTGTAACTGCACTGTTTGACAAGTAGGTCATGTGTCTGGCCATAGCACTCATGTTTGTTGTTTGCTTCTTGATCTTCAGGATGAAGCTCAAGCATTTTATAGAACTAAGCGATAAGTGACAGACAAGGGAAATATATTTAGAGATACCTCCAAGAGGAAATGAGATGCTTTCAGTGGAGATCTTAGAACAGGAAGACAAGGATGCATAAAAAGGTTGCCCTATAGGCCAACTCTGCAAGGAAAAGGCTCAAGTAGTCAGTAGAATGCATAAATGATAAAAATTAGTGTTTACTCAAAAGAAAGTTATCAGAATGCTGGGAGGAAACAAAAGAAATTCTAGGATTTAGAGAATGATTTGAAATAACTGGGATAATTTCATAAAATCTATGTTAAATAGTTTTGTCGAAGTCAGAAGTATAACATAAAATGGCTGATGTGCAAATAAACAAGTGGATTCTCTATGTATATGTGTGTCTGCCTACTTTAAAAAAAATAAAATAAAATGAAGATGGAATCTGTCACTGAAGTTCTCTGGATCTGGTTATAATGTGACTATTCCTTTAGTAACCAACTAGTGTTAATAAGATGGCCCACCTTCCAGTAAGGAATAAAAGCCATGTACAAACATATCCAAGGGCCTGTTCTTAGGTTCCTAATAATAATAGGAGCTATAGCTAGGTACAAAAAATGAGAAGGGCACATGTACCATAAATATCAAAGATTCATGAAAATCTAAAGGGGGTTATACTAGTTATAATTCATTCATTCAAAAATATTACTAAGGAGTTACTAAGTGCAAAGCAAAGTAGACATAAAAAGACAATAGGCCTTTGCAACAAAAACAAAAAAAATTCAACTCATCTCATCAAAGGAAAACCACAGCTGGACAGTAAAGGGGTAGAAAACAGATTTTATTCAGGATTACTGCAATAGGGGAAAATACGTCTCAGTATAGAGCTGGGCTCAGTTCCAAATATAGCATGGGCAAGTGGGAATTTATAGCTAAGGATCAGGGTGAGAGATCGGTGGACAGAAAATTACTAAGAAGGGAAGGTGGTATCTGGCTAAACAGACCTAACAGGATTCTTGCTGAAGACAGGCCAGGGTGGTCAGATATCACCTGGTAGATGGTAGAAGATGAAGAACCTGATCAGACATGAGGATGATCAGATATGAGGGAGGTCTTGCTAAAACTGGATTTTACAAAGAAGTGCACAGACGGGCCTAGAAGAAGGTTCAGGAGCCTCCTAAAATTTGGACAGGCAAAGAATCTCTCTCATCTGGGATGAAAGATGCCATGTAAGGGTAAGAATGATGGATTAATTTATAAGTTCAATTAGACATGATCAGTGTACGTATTAGATCCTTTGCTATTTTGCCTATTCTTTGTAGTCATTCATTAAATTATTTTGCTAGCAACTCTGGAGTATAGACAAGAGGGGTTAATAGTCTTGGCAAAAGATCTGACACGGAAGAACTTTGAAACTAATAAACACAATTTACTTTTTGGGCCCAAAAGTAAATTTACTCAGTTTTAAAAGTCATTAATTCACTGAATATTTTCTTCAGTGCCTACCTAGGCCCCAGAATTCAACAGTGAATGAATGAGACAGGCAAAATTTCTACCCTCACAGCGCTTATGGCCTAAAAGGAAGAAACAAATACTACGTCAATAAACAAAAAAAATAATTTTAGGTTAATAGCAAATAATTATATGAAAGAAATGAAGTAGTGATGTGTTAATGATGAGAAATGGACTACTTTGTTTCATGAATAAAAAGGAAATAGCTACATTATCTGTAACAAAGGGGGAATGGGGCAGAATATAGAGAACTAAGTTAAAACTTCTGGAAGCCTTTCTCT